CACACGTGAAATATAAAATGCACATTAATGAATGATAATTTGATATTGTTTTTAATTTTTTAATTTCTGTTTAAAATTGGATACGTATTATTTTTATTCCAGATTTTTTTGGAACATAAGATCTGACTAGGTTTATTATTATATGTTTAACTCGCCATTGTCCGTTGGGTTGCAATTGAGTCAAATATGGTAGTATTTCATGTATAGTTGTATGGTTCCACATTTCTGTCAGCTGGATTGGGCTGACCTAAAAGACTGGCGTGATATACGTTGCCTGATTAGGTTTTAGATTTCTCATTTATATTTATAATATGTAAGGGTGTTAAGGAACCCCATACCGACATGCGTCACAAATGCGTATAACTTGTATCACAGACTCACCGTTTGAGATGCACACATAAGTCTATAAATTGTACATGTTATCGAAATTCACTACATACGTATTTTCAAACTTTAAAGCATAAATATTTATACATATATTTGCGTAAATACAATAACCGAAGATACGTAGTTATAACGGTACGTGCGTATCTTTACTAACTGGTTCCTCATTTAGTCGAAAGTTCTGTTGGTCTTTTTTTTCCGTATTCTGCCGATAATAGTTTTTTCATATTTGTCTACGCCCAAAATATATCTTGTAGAGTTCTCACAAGTGTCTATTCAAGTATGACTGCTGACCACACAACACCCTATGCAATCTACGGCTTTTTTCGTTCTTTTAGAGGCTCGTTACCCGACGAGCAAGATTTTGAAGACTTTGTCGCCACCTTGACAATCACTCCTTTACATGCTGTTATTGAGAATGTTGTTCCATTTTTTCGTCGTTCGACCGATCCTGACTTGCTTACAAAGTTTCAGGTGATGATACGTCAATGCGAACAAAATTCGGCCTTCGAAAGTACTTTTATGAGAGTTTGTGATGCTTTGGATATGCTTCAGAGGGTGGAAAAAGCTTTGAGATTTGATAAACGTTTGATGGATGAGTATTTACGTGCTATGCAATTTGACAATGCCTCCGCTAGCCATCAACAAGTATGGAATGGCTTGCAAAGATTTTTGAACGAAGAATGCGATCCTATCACGAAACGAGGAATGGAAAGAGTTTTTGCCGAGCAAAAAGCTAGTGATGAATTTGGTATATACTTCATTGCACTTAATTTCCTAGTTCAATAATAATTAGATTGGTTGATTACTTCATTAGCTTGATTTAGTTGATCGCATGCATAATCTTTCAAATTTCTTTATCTGATGTTTATTTAATTTACTTTATGTTATTAGGTCTAAGTGATGAAGTTCTTGCAGTCGCTTATTCCCTGATTGGTGATGATACTTTATATATTGAAATTCTCGAAACTCTTCAATTAAATAATCGACAAAATCTACCGTGG